CTTTTTTAAAGAACTCGAAGCAGCTTATATAATTCTCCTCCTTCTCCTGCTTTGAGTCTTATCCCCAGAACAACAACAAACAACAACCCGGTGAGGTGGGTTGGGCTGAGGGTCTTTGGCCCAGAGTCACCCAGTCAGCTCCATGACTGAGCAGGGAGAACCTAGAACCCAGATTGCCTGAGTCACAGTCCCACACTAACCACTTTACCACCCTGGGAAACTCAGTGAACAGAGCACAGAGAGGCTGATAGGATCTGTGGAGCAATGCTCCAGATACCAACTAGGAGGGAGGAGAGAACCCTGCTTAAACAAATTGTGTGGTGCACCTGCCTGACAAGAGATGCTGACGCATATCCCTACTCAACACCTACTGGTTATGAAACATATGTATGAATGCATTACATTTTTGTACCACCCAGTAGTTGAAGTTCTTTGGGCAGTTCACAACAATTGTGAGCATAAAATGCACCATAACAGTTTAAAACTACAGTATAAAATAGAAATAAAAAATAAAACCTAGCAGCAATGCAAAGTTTAAAATACATCAGATTTAAATTGGAAACTGAAGCACTAAAATGCCTGGAAAAATAAGGTCATCACCTGTCATCAGATATACAATGCAGATACCTCTAAGAAGCTCATACCTTACTTATGGTGCCACAACAGAAATGGCCCTCTTATTGACCACATTTCCATTGACAGGAGTTCCTGGCAAAAGACCTGCATGTTGATCTCTGATTCCAGGCAAGTCTATGTGGGGGGGGAAAAGAAATTATCAGGTGACCTGGCCCAAAGCTCTTTATAGCTTTGAATATTAATACCAGCATTTTAAATGGACATGGACCAGCAGCCTGTGTAGTCAGAAAAAATAATGTTATGATAGGATACATTGGTCAGCCCATTAACAATCTTGCTTCCTTGTTTTCGACCAGCTGAAGTTTCTAGGGCATCTTCACAGACTGCCATGGATGTAATGTATTGTAGTGATCCAGGCAAAAGGTTACCAAGCATGGTGAAGGACAGAAGGCATCCAGACCTGGCGCACTTTGTCCAGTGAAGCATGACAAAAACAGCAAACTGTTTTATTCTCGAGAAATGTTTGATCACATCAAAATGGCAATTGACTGTGAGTGCATGGCTGAGCCCCCTTTGATACCTCCATTGACCAGGTAGTGATGACATATGCCCACTGGACTGAAATATCACTGTGAGCACTAATTGGCACATTCAAATACAGGTGGTTCCTGCACTTACCTGGGAGACTGTGCTACCTGGCGGTAGCACGAGGAGCTCTGGTGGGAGATTGCTCAATGTCTGGCCACATGGAATGTTCCAATTTACCTTGATGACATTTGGGAGTGTGACCAGCCTGTCCAGGCTTAATGCTGGCCAGTCAGGTATGTCCTACAATGGATAACTTGCAGCTATCTAGCTACCTCCAGCCAGATTAAGACATAGCTGATATATTAGCCTAAGCTGAAAAAGCTGGTCCTTGTCACCAAGTTAACTTTCACCTCTAATGGCAATGCTGGATCCAAGAGCACCCTCATCCTATGAACCTTACCCTTTAAGGAGAGAGGAATCCCCTTTAGTACAGGTTATTACTCATCTGGGCAGAAAAACCAAGGTCCAAGGCAATTAACAGGTTTGCAATACTTCTGTTCTTTTCTTTGCAAAGGTCATCCCACAGAGTGGCCAATATAGTTTCCATTCCAAACAAGGTTTAACTAAATGCATCCATTTTTTCAAGAGTGACCCATCAACACCTTCTATAAAGAGGCCACTACCACTCCCTTTCTTGAGAAATTTACAGCCTCCCCTTCTGTGAGATGTTGTAAGCCATTAAGGGCAAAGGTCATGCACATGGGTAGTCAGCTAAATTTGGTCAAACACCTTGTCTGCATCATCAGTCCTTAACTGAAATTCATCCAATGTGGCTGAACCAGATGGTGTTCTGGGCACATTTGCTAATGGAACTACATTCATTGTGGTATCTATTTGATGAAGGATTTTACTGATTTTCTTCAAGATGGCGCACAGATTTGTCATAGTATGCTAGTAAGGATTGTGCCATCTTTCTCTCTGGCTCAGAGTCTATCAGGCCAAGAACATCCTGGAAAAATAGCACTGGGTGGCACTGGGAATAGCAACGCTGCTGGAAATGACCTGTCTTTTTGCCTCCCTCATCACCACAGAGTGGGCTCAAATAATGAGCTCCAAATTATGTTTGGTTAGAATTGGCATGGACTTTCCTCTGCTTCTTGTTCTAGCTTCATTGGCCTAAGATCAGGCAGCAGCAAGGGGTTGGCTGGGCCCTGCTCAGAGAGAAAGGATACTTACCCAACTGATCCTTGCATTCCACAATGTGACTTGGGCTTCAGCAAGGCACCACTAATAATACCAAAAAGACCGTACATGATTCTAGATCCCTTTTTCCAAAAAGCAGACAAACTCCCAAGTTCAGAAAAAAAATTCTAAATTCTAATTTCAGAAATTAAAGTGTTAAAATTCTTTGTTAGTTTTAACTAAGAGTCTGAAGAGGTGCATAGTTTGAGGAGCTCTGTGAACCAAAGAATGATGAATGGATTTTCACTGGTTTCCTATCAAAACAAGCTGCATGTTTTGTTTTTTGGGTACCCAGGCAAACAAAGGCTCTCATGAGCTTTTTAAAAAAAACCAAGCCTTGTTAGGCCCTATTGAGCCCTCTGTGCTGTGACACTCAAGCTAAGCAAACTGATCTTCCCTTTAACTCTCCTAATCAGTAAAGAAATAAGGTATGCATGTTATGAGTAGAGACAGATGAAGCCAGCAGTCAGACTAGATGGCCCATGAAGCCCCTTCTGACTCGCTCAGTTTCTATGTTATATGCCAGGGGTAGTTAGACATGCTCAATGGAAGAGCCAGATATACTAAATTTCATATTTGTTCATGTCTTGTGGCTCTCAAACATTTACTTATTAAATAAGCAGTTAAGCACACAGAAAAACAAGTCCCAGGGTGATCTGTGGTAGCATTTTATTGCAAGGGGAATGAAGATCAGTGGATACTTGCTTTTTACAAATGTTTGGAAATGAAGGAAAGTTTACTCTCTCACAAACTATTCTGACGAAATTACTAATTGTTTAACGTGTATTTCAGCTAATGCAACCTTGCACACACTTACCTAGGAGTAACCACCAGATGTAGGACAACTTATTGTTCAATAAACTTTTGTTAGGGCATACTGACTGCTATGCTTTCAAGCTAAAATGACTAAAAGCCTTTTGGAGTGGGACCTTTGTTTCCTTTTTAGCTCTGAATACTGGGGGAAACTGAGTGGCCATGCACTGCCACCTTGGGAGCTTGGGTACAAGACATCATCCAGCAGCAGAAGTGGCCAGAAATCTCATCACCAGCTGCTGTGCCAGATGCTTCAGTGAGGACCCAATCCCCCCTTGGAGTGCAGCTGTACTGCAGTCCCCTCAGCTCCATCATGCCCCATGGAGGAAGCAGCCCAATTTCACACACCAGCCTTGGCCTCAATTCCATGCCTTGTCTGATCAGTCATGTTTTATCCCATCCCTTTCCCACTCCATGCTAAAGGCAGATAGGAACCAACTATATATAGGGCATTTTGGCCTCTCTGCAAGCCGCAACATAAAGACCCACATGCGGCTCATAAGCCTCAGTTTGGCACCCCTGATATGTACTGTGGTCTCGAGCCATGAAGGTGTCAGCATCTGGGGTGTGGACGGATGGCTGACTAACCAACAGGAGCACCAGGACCCAGGCAACTGGGGTAGGACACAAGGGTCAGTGCAGAAGCAGTTAAACAGTCTAAAGGTTAGAGCTGGGAGTTGAAGGACAAGGCTGAGTCTGTTCGAGAGACAAGCATGGTCAGACAAGCTGGGAGTCAGGGAACTGAGAAGACAAGTCGAGGGAAACCAGTACCTTGAGACCTGGAGCAGGAGCAAGCAAGGGCCAGGAGAACAGGGAAGATCTAGGAGCAGACATAGGATCACAAGCTGGGTCCAGGAGTAGCAGGAACAGGATCACAGGCAGAGGTCCAGGAGCAGAGTCCACAAACCTGGAGCACTTCAGCAACTCTCAAAACCCTTATTGCCAAAGAAGCTTCTGAGGGGAAGAGCCAGTTCTTATATAGCAATTCCCCAGGGCTCCCAGGTGGAGCTCATGAGAGCCCTGGCAGCTGCAGTAAATCGGGGTATCCTGCAACTACCAGTGCTGCTGTGCTGGTCCTTGACCAGCAAAGGCAGCCTTGAAGCTGCCTTGGGTCTTGACAAAAGGGCTTCATCAGTGACATGAGAATTTTGAATCAGGTCTAGGAATCAGGGCAGGAAATACAATGCCAGCATAACATGGTCATGCCCACCCAGTTTCAATTTAGTACCTCACCTACCATATTTCGTACTAGGTGAACTATTTGGACTGTCTACAGAAGTAGCTCCACATACAATACATTATAGTGATCACAATGGAAGATGGCCACTGCGTGGAACACAAATAGAGCCATGGGTGGCATTCTGTGACAGGGAGGACAGCTATGTTTCTAATGACAAAGATGATTGAAGAAAGATGACTTCATACTTCCTGATGGGCAATAAATCTTGGGCTGTTGGAGAACAGTCATCCTTGAAGGACAACAGATCCAAATAAAAATTCCAAAAGTAAACTAATGAGATAATGAATGGCAAACTCTTGTTTCTTTTTTCTTCTCTTTTTTGTTACTTCAGGGTGACTTAAAAACACAAGAAGCTTGTGACTCCTCTGTCAGTGGGGCTCCTCATATTTTAAGCATTAAAAGGGCTCCACAGTGATGAAACTGTTTTGAGCTCAAAAGAAATGTACCAATGTATGAGTAGTCCCACTGGCATAGGAGTTCTCAGTCAGCCCCACTTAAAATCAAACATTTTAATTCACTGACATGCTGTTTATAGTAGAGTTTTTGAAATTGCTACTGAATATATGAGTTTTCATACATGATTGGGTTTCTTTCATTTCAGGAAATTAAAATGCATGACTGATAGTGAAACCCTTGCACCCGATTGGCCTTATTTCAAAACCATTGACAGAATACTGTCTAAAGTGTCAGAGCACAATGATGTGAAAATGCATGACAGTCAGCAACCAGGCCCTTCAACATCACAGACTGAGGCCTCACAGTCACCATCTGCCAAGTCTACACCTCTCTATTTGCCATATAATCAGTTCACATATGAAGGGAGAGAAGAGTTTTTTGAAGATGAGCATTCTGACAGCTCCTCCAGTTTACTTTCGTATAAATTAAGGTAACAGTTATATTTTACTTCAGTATTTTACATGCTGGGCTCTGTATGGTATCTTGTTTAAAATTGGAAAGGCCCTTTTCCTCCAGGACAATTTAACTAATATGATGGCTTAAGGAACTCCCTTCTGTTTCCTCTAGTAATGGTGAACCTAGGTCCTGAATCACAGTGCACCCAGTAATATGATCACTACTACTGGTTTTTAATCTGAAATAATGTAGGTAACATTTTGTGAGCTTCTGGAATTGCTTCCATCAACTCTACCTGGCAGTATCAGAGCAAGAGGTGAAACAGAGAAGCCCCTGCCATTAGTCTGGCCAAGGCAAAATGTTGTTTAGCTCCACCCTTCCAGAATTAAGCAAACTGATTCTTCATTACTCATTTCCTCTTGCCCCACTGTCTCTCTCCTTTTGTATTCTATTCCAAAATATCCAGATACTGCTATCAGCATATGGGCTCCTTCTTAGTGATGGTCCACCAACTGTGGAATTATATTTAAAGGCATGCCAAGCATTCATCCTCCTTTTCTTTTCGAAACAGGTTAAGGCAGCTTTCTGTACTGAGCCATTTAGAGATATCTAAGGTTTATTTAATAGCTTGATGGTGGCACTCATGTCAGGTATTTTTAAGAGGTGTACATGGTCTGCTGATAATTTTTGTTTTGCAAAATTTTAAACATTTTAAAATTTGCACAGTGGTAAAATATATTTTTTTTGTATTATGTCCTGTTTCTTGGAATTTCTAGAAACCACCCAAAAAGCTTTAGCTATTGAGTGGTACTGGAACAATACAATAAAGAAATAAATCAAATGCTGATTGATGAAGCCTGGGAAGAGACTAGGAAGTGGAATGTATCCACTGTCCACACTCCTGACCATTAGGTCAGAGCAAGAGAAGGCAGGGAAAAAGGTAGATAGAAGCAATTATTTTACTGATCAACAAAGTGAGGATAAAGGGCAACAAATGGACAGAAATCAGAGGGAAACAGAGGAATTGAAACAAACAGCAATGAGGGAAAAGGGGACAGTCTGCATGGATACACATCCTGCCATGCTTGTCTCCTACTAGCCGGCTAAATGGAGCCATGCTATAAGTGATTCTGCTGAGCTGGGCTGGCTTGTCTCTGCTTCTGCGATTGCATGCAAAAACTCTCATGTAATGCAGATCCTAAGACTTGATAGGCTATGTGTATATACTGTAGGTATATGTTCAATTTATGTACAAAACAAATGAGTGGTATGTATGTATAAATGCAATAAAGTGACTCTAAAAGGTAAAGTGGTATCTTAATAGACAGCTTTGAGCACAGTATCCATCCAACTATGCCTAAAGATGCAATGCCTTGCTGCATTCTGGGTTCTAGGCTGCCAGATTTTTCTTTTGGGTTATTTATGAGTGTGTGAAGGGGGGCAGTGGGAAAGCACTGAAAGAGCTAACTGGGGATACCAAAGAATGTTCCTCTTTCCCTCCCCCACTCCCTCTGTGTGTGTGTGTGAAAAACATGGAATATGCAATAGTGAATGAAGTTTGAGAAACAGTTGTTTATAGCAAACTTTTCTATAAAGGGGGGCATGTTTTTAGATCCAGCTTTTGAAATATAATTGTTTTATATTGATTCCACTGCTCTTGTTCAGTCCAAGTGAATATTAGATATTATACGACTATCTTCCTGAGAGAAAATGTACAATATTGGGTGCCTGAAAATAGCAGATTTAATGCTGAAACATTTGCATTTCAGAACTGAAGAGAGACCTGTAAAGAAAAGAAAAATGCAAAACTGTAACTTTCAAAAGAAGAAACTAAAATTAATGGAAGCAATGCTGGAAGAACAAAAGAAGCTGAGCAGAGCTATGGAAGAAACATGTAGGGAGGTGCGAAGGATCCTGGATCAGCAGAACATCATCCAAGTTCAGAGTCTGCAACTGCAAGAGAGAATGATGAATCTATTGGAGAAAATGATATCTAAAAGCAATGTTTAATTTCTTTTGCAGCTCTACTGAAAATAAAATATTTATCTCTTTTACAGAATAGCACAGTTCATATCCTATGATTGTGTCTTCTTTCCAAATATAGTGAACTGTAATGTAAATATACTTAAATGAAGAATCTAATCAATGTAGAATGAAAGCCAATTAGTTAACTGGGTGTTTCTTAATGGAATAAAAATTGAGCTTGCTTTGTGAATTATTTTCGAGTTGTTAGACAAATCCATCATTTGGTATGATAGATAACAGGAAATATTTCTTGGACCCAAACTAAGGATATGCAGTTTAAGTTGCGTATTCAAGAGAGAACATGCAAATGCAGATTTTCATGTAGATTTAAAAATATATTGGTGTAATGTAGAAAAAGACCAAAAATACATGGAGTATCATCTCAAGACAGTACCAGGTGTATACTGTTCAAAGAAGTTTAAACAACCAAATGATGTATGCAATAATTCCTGTTCTTTAGGTTACATAGAATGTAAGGAGAAGCAGAAGAGCAGTCATATATAATCTGAGGAAATAATTAAACCCTGCCTGTATGCAGAGTCAACATGGAACTAGACTTTCATAAATAAACCAAACAATTCATTTTGTAAAAAATTAAATTTTGGTACTTTTTGCTGAGTTAGGGTAATGTTATCCAAAGATGGTGACAGGAACATTTCTTTGCAACTTTTTGCTGTTTCAACCCCATTGTTCATCATGGTTGCTCGTGCTCAGCTTGTTTAGTTCCCTAAAGGTCTCCTCAAAGGTGCCCCAACAGAGCACAAAGGGAAGAGAGAAATGATTGATGTTCTAGTACTTTTCTTGCTACCCTTGTTATCCTTTATGTCAAAATGAAATGGTTTGCAAGAAGGAAACAAGAGTAGGATTATCGTCCAGTATTAACTCGGAAACTGTTAATGTTTTCTTGAAATTGGAAGGGAAGAGAAGCAAGGAAGCTACCATTGCAATGATCTTCCACCATCTTTTATTGCCTGGTGTTCCTTGGTAAATCAGAAACCTACTTGAACTCCACAGTGTTGAAAAGGGTGTTCAGGAGTGCTTGGGTCAATGGCCTTTCATCCTTTACCATTCTATAGCGCAAAAGCCTCAACGAAAATTTCTGGCTCCAGCTACTGCAAAATTTTCCACAGTATCCTGGGATGTGAGAGATTATGTATGTATTCAAGGGCAGACCATCTTAATGGTTTTCTCACCTCTGCAGGGAAAAACTGGGATTGTGATCAGAAAGTGTTCTGATCATGACAATGGAAAGGTTTCCCCTGCCTCCATTATCTAAATCACATTTTGATGAAAAGACCAAATCAAGGATATAACTTGACACAATTATTAGACTGATGACAAGCTGAGGTAGCCTCATGGTTGTCATGGAGCCTATGAAATCACAAGCTGATTCTGTTAAGGCAATTTTAGCATGGAAATCACAGTGCCCCCAGGACAAAGGTCTTGAGGTTCTAGAAAGCCATATTTAACTCAGCCAGCTCAGTTAGGGAAGCTATTGGGCAGAGTGGATGGTATACCAATAGTATCTCCAAAAAGAGTATTTGGTCCAACAAAAGATTTAGACCTCCCACCTATCCTAAAATGCAGAGGAAAAATCCTGATTTTCATTACATGGGTTTTCCCATTCAAGTGATTACAAGAAAGAAAGATACTACTCCCACATTGGAAGACATTGCTGCAGTTTTGAATGGAACAAAGTTCTTCTCCAAACTTGACCTTACAGCTGGTTATCATAGGCTGCAGCTCCATCCAGATACACAACCTTTTCAACAAATGTTGATCTTTGCTACTTCAAGTGCCTCAGCTCTGGTGTTTCTTTAGTCACAGAAATATTTTGGAATATCATCTGTGACGTTCTAGCTGAAATTCCACAGTTCTTAATATAAGAATAGCATGCTGCTTGATTTGTCCTAAAATGAAACTATGAGAACCTGAAACTAAACCGAATTTGAATTCAGAATATCCACTGAAGATGTATACAAAGAATATAGTATTACAGCTAACTCCCCAAAAGTAAGAGCTATGTATAATTCTGCTGTGCCTCCACTAGGCCTTGCAAACTATTGTGGCTAAAATATTCCAAGATTATCCACAATCTTAGAACATCTCTGGGATCTCAATAATAATAATAATAATAAATTTTGAAGTAAAAACACAGAAATTGTCAGGCTGCACCAAACTGCACTTCTAATGACATAGTTACGTCATACTTTGGTCCAAACAAAAAGACTGAACTTTTGGTGGATATTGGTATTACAGCTGTTCTCACACAGATTACTCAAATGACCAATTTGTATCATTACATAGGTCAACAAAGTTCTTTCACCACAGAACAGTTTTGGTTTTTTATTCAGACAGAAAGGAGAGTGCTTATGGTCGTTCCGGGATGTTGTCATTTTCATTTAAATATTTACATATGGGTAACTTTCATAGTTACTACTGATTGACTGAGCCCATATTAAGAATTCCTCTCTTTGACCAATAGTTCACACTGAGTGATGAATGCTTAAATTGTAGAGCTATAAAAATAGAGTTATATAATAATTGGATAAAAGCAATCGCAATCATTTCAACCACAAACTTAGCAGGGGTGAATCTTGATTTCTTTCTCTCTTATGCAATTGCTAAATCTTTCTCTACAGAAAATAAAGACTGCTACATAAACTCACATGTCTATCCAGACTATCCTGAAGAATGTGCACGATGGCCAGTGAAATGATCATTTGGATAATCATATCTGAGTTTTGAAGCAAAAGGAAAAGGAACTTACCACTGCAGTGAAACACATCTGCTTTAGAGGTACCTGTTTAGTTGTTCCATGTTCTCTCTCTCAGCTCATGCAATTGATTTGGCTCATTAAGATCACAAGGAAGCACCTAAAACCAAATCTCAGCAAAGTGAAAAAATCTGGTTCCCTGGTAAATTTACTGAACAATGGACAGGTTTGCAGGTCGTGACAACCCAGCCTGGCAACAAGCCAGGGTGGGCTGATTGCTTTACAAACAGATGATTGAGCTCGCTTCAGACAGTTTCCTCCCTCCCTTGCCCTTCTTCCCCTTTGACCTTCCAGATAGTATCTCGGGGGCATTACACCAAGACAAAGTTTTCCCTCTCTTCCTGCCATGCTCAGGAGCCTTTTCAAACTCCCTTTTGCTTTTTGCAATTGAAACTTTTTCCCCCTCAAGCAGTCACCAAACCTGGATTGACAGCTGAGGCAGCAGCATTAACCCTGGACATTGATCCCAAGAGGTGAAAATCATATAGGTTCTTCCCCCTTTGACAGGTGTCAAAAGATGCATTTTCAAGAGGAGCCAAAGGTTGCTTATAAAAAGGGGCTGGTGTGATTTATACCTCCAATATGGCAGTGTCTTCCACTTATTTTTCACCTGACAGTTGGGAAAAATGCAACATGTTCATTGCTCTGTGTGTGTGTGAAGTGGAGGAAAATTAGGACCTTGCCACAAAGAGAATGTAAATTCCCAGACACCTCTTCTCACATGCAAAAATCCATTACACCTTTTGTAGCTCTTGACAGTTCATCTACTGACAGTCATCAAGAAGAAAACAAAATGGGGAAAAATAATTTGAAGTTTCTTCCATGCAATGTCCAAGGTTAGCATCTGCTGCATCTGGGTGGCTGGCACCCCACTGTACATTGCCCTGGCAGAAGCTTCAAATTCCCACACCTGTGGTACTGCAACATTTCATGGTTGTGCATGTATGGCTTTTTAAAAACCTGGAAAATTTAATCTGCTTCTTGGTGCAAATTTCTTCTGCATTTTTAAGGTTCTCATAGCCATGGGCTGCCCCTCCAAGCTGCCACTTGGCCATGTTGAAGCAACTGTCAATGGCCATTAACCTGAAAAGCACAAAGACCAGCTGTCAAGCTAGCTTTTGTGATCTTCAAAAAAGGGGGAGGGGGAAGAGGAAGGCGAAGCAAGGAGCAATTGAAAAACACTCATGACCAAGCAAGGAGGGAGAGGCTGACTCAGTCCACACCCTTAATGTTCCTTGGGATACCTATTGGTGATCAAGAGGGAGAGACCAACAACACATAGTGAATTTGATTGGTTTTCAGATTTGCTGTGAATTCTTCACTGCATTAGACTGCAATTTCATGAAACCACTCTGCAGCACTGCCTCTATCACCATGGATGGAAGTTTTTTCCCTGGCTCCAGTGCCATGGGTAGAATTTGATGTTGCTTTATATACCCTCTCAAATGGATAACATCTCTTGCTTGTTACTAATAAGTACAGCTGTAGAAAATACATTCTTGTCTTACAATGTAGTAGGGAATCTAGAGCCACTAGATGTTTTGGACTTCAACTTCCACTAACCCCACCCAGAATGACCAATTATCAGGATTTCTGGAGTTGAAGAGAGGTTATGTAAAACATCTGGAGTCACCAAGTTGCTTACCTGTTTCACAGCATAGCTTCTGTTGTGGAAAGTAGAAATGGAGTTCCATTTAAAAGTCTGCAATTTGATCAGTTTTCAGCTATCTTGGGTGCAAATATAGAAAAATCACAGTTAATTGGACATAAGCCAGTGGAAAGGTAGACATGTTTATAAGGATCCCTTAAACCCATGCAGATCGCTACAGAAATGGGAGCTAGTAAGAAACAAAAGTATTCTCCAGATATGATTATTCAGTTTACTCAATTGCTTTCTTTGTGCATATCATATAGATTAGTCATCATTTTTTAATGTATCAGTTTACCTTTTTGTTTGTAATTTTCGTATCAGTGGTATAGGATAAGGATGGATGCAATGTATATAGCAGGTGAAAGACAAGTTGGTTAGGATTCCATGGCTAGACTTCAGGAGATCCTGAAAACAGAAATACTGGAGGTACTATTACAAACTATTCCCATGAGAAAGAAATATGGGAAGCGTTTAAAGAAGCCAGTGTGGCTATAAAGGAATGTCTTTGATTAGCTGAGACTCAAAAAGGCCATGGATGGTTTTGGAAGGAGAGCAATG